TGTGTGTGTGTGTGTGAGTTTGTCCCTGTTTTGTCCTCGTTGTTTAATTTAAAGCACACAGATTCATTCCTCTGTCAACATTCCCTGGAAAACATTTTAAGCATCGTACTTTGAATTAATGAATTCTTCACATTAATTTGATGCAATAATTTGTAATGATGTCAATTTGTAATTCTGTTCGATAATCATTTTCATTTTATGGCTGATATTTTAGATCAGTGTTGTTTTAGTATTAATTATGTATTACTATAGTAGTTATTATTATATAGTATTTATTAATATTTTGAATTTTCAGTCCTCATTTTTATTTTAGATCATTGTAGTAATTTTGTTTTGTGCTTTTGGAATTGTTGTTAGTTTTTATTCCACACATATGTTTCTTTTACAAATTTATTTTTTTTATTTCAGTTCAGTTTTTTATCTAATATTTCAACCTGATCTCATGAAAGTGCGTATAAATAGTACGTCAAATAAAAATGAAAACTTGTGGTATTGATACGCAAAAATGGACTTTGGCATGTATATGCTACGCGATGGGTAGGTTTAGGGTTGTGGGGTAGATGCGTATCATATGTACGTGAAAACTGTGTATCATATGTACGTGAAAACTGCGTATTATATGCACGCCAAACATATGTATCATATGCACGCCAAAGTCCATTTTTGCGTATCAATACCACGAGTTTTAAGTTTTTATTTGGCATACTATTTATACGCATTTTCATGAGACCGGGCTCAATATTTATATTTTATTTTAGATTTCAGTAAAACTTTTACATTTAAGTTTTTCCATATAATATGTATAGTTGATATTATTAAAACTTTATTTAAATAATGAAAACATTTTAATAATTTTAGTTTTAGTTAACCTATAATAGCACTGTTCTAAACTATTTAACATGAATATCCACTAGGTAGGAGTTGAGATGATTGGCATCACTCCCACTGTGTTGATCCCAATGATAAAATCAACCAGAACGATTTCTATAAATGATTGTGCAGTGAGACACAAATGGAATCTATCTACAAATGTTGATATTAACGTGACGTGGCGACAGAGCAGAACATCATTCAGTGAAAACAGAGCCAGAATGATTGTCTGTGGAACAAGCATGCTTACATACGTTTCAGATCGAGAGAGTCAACATGATCTGGTGTAGAAGGGTTCTGTGTTGTCATCCTTCATGAGAGAAATGATCAGCGTTTGTTTGCTCGATCAGGATTTGTTTGCGAACAATTATAAACATAGATATCCGTTGAGTCGCTCTGATAGAAGAGCAGAGGAATCCATCTACTTGGATACTCGACGTGTTGGACTCGAATAAGAAACTTACACACTCAGGTCAATCGTAACGGGTAATCTGTGATTTAATAGGTCTTATGCTTCAAGTGTAGAATCTGATTGGATAAGCTGTGTTTGAAGATGTGCTAAAATAACTGATATACACAGACCTCTAAATTAAAGTTGCATAAATCATTAGCAGTCAGTTTTGCAGAATAATATATAATTGTGATTGTTATATAGTTTGTTCATCCCAAAATGTAAATTAATTTACTCGCCCTCATGTTGTTCTGAATACTATATGTTTGACTTTCTATCTTGTGTTAAACACAATAGGAGAAATTTGTGCAGTATGCATGTTTACAATTCTGTTTTTGCATACGAAGGAAATATACTGCAGTTTTACAGTAAATAGTGAACTATATTCCAGACCTTCTAAACTCAAGATAGAATTGTTATTATTATTTATTTATTTATTTAATTTAATTTTAGATCCAAATTCACTATTTACTGAATAAGTGTTGATGTAAAAAATGGCAAACACAACTGTTTCC